AGCATCTTCTACACGTCTGGTAATCCTGAGCTTCCCTTGAACGAGAAGTATGACAAAAGGGTCATCAGGTATCGCTATAAATAGTTTTCTAGATTTCAATACAACGTCAGAAGATGCTGACTACCTTGGTTACGACAGCTCTTTCGATTTTTTTACCGATGTACGCACTTATGTGGATTGGATTTGCGACAAGACCGGTGAGATGGCAAAGCTTTACGGAGCAGCTTGAAGAAAAAAATCTCCAGTTTTACGTACTCATAGATGTGGTTTTCCAGGAGCTTGCCCACCGGAAGAACTGGAGGAACCGGAGGAAGCGGAAGAACTGGAGGAACCTGAGAAAGTAATGGGTTCTCCAGCAGCCGGAGAAATGCTTGCCCAATTTGCAGTTCGTGCAAAAAATGCATTAAATTGGTTTAATAATTTTCCTAATCTTAAAACCATCCTACATAGCCTGTAAGAAAAGATGCACTAAATAAATGCGTTTTCAAAAACGGATTGTTAGATGGTTGCAGCCCACCAGGAAGAGCAAATACTGTCTGCAAAACAGATAATCACTCCTCATTATTGGCTCTTTTGAAACTCGTGTCGACAACTCCTGGCACTGGCTCAGTTGGACGATGTGGGGGGGGGGGGAAGGAGAGAAACGCTGCGCAGTGTTTTTGTGTCCCTGTGTCCCTTCCTTGACAGGAACTTAGATTAGCCAACTATGTCCTCTCTACAAAAATGGCCCTTGACGTCTCTGGTCCTCTGCACTCTGGGTAAGCCTGGTTAGATGAAAGGACACAGAGGCGAGGACAAGTCCCCCTCCGCTCTTAAGTTTGGGCCCAATTGGTTCCGCGCAATGGCTGTGTTTCCTCAGTGAGTGTCGGAATTACCTCCCATAGCGCCCTCAGGGCTTAGCGCGATTAGAAGGTAAAAACAGCGTCTGTGACTAGGGATTTCTCGCACCCATTGTCCAGTAAATGTGCCCTGCACTACAGAAACACTGCTTCATGTTTTACTTCATCGGGGTGAATTATGATATTCCGGACTACAATCATGGCGGAGCATTGTTGTGCCAGAGCCAAACAAGTCGTGGTAGGCCCGAGGAAGATTGCTAGAACATAGAGAAATTAGTGAACTATCCATTCCATACCGTCCCACTTGTCCAGAATCTGGCTAGGTTTTGGTCGGAAGTTTCGAGGTGGGCTTGGCTTGGATTTTGTTACCGTGGTTACATTGTCCAGCTAGTACATTTCGCTTGTCTGAACACACATGTCATAAGAACCGGCTTCACAGAACATAAGCACCTCCGATCGCCAAATCGCTTAAACTTGTAATTTGGGGGAGGGGGTACGCTGAACACCAGCACCGATGCCTGTCAAATGCGGGTTCAATAACGAACAGTGGGGCAGTACAGGGCAGATGCTGCCAACTTTATGTTATTAAGCAGTAGTTGCCGGGAAGGGAGGATGCCACAGGAACGACCGGGAAATGTTATTTCAAATGCCGATTCAGGAGAGTCAAAGGAAAGACGAGATCAGAGAGCAATTTCAGCGGCTGAATGTGCCGATTAGAGAGAGACATAACAGACGGCAACGGTTGTCTGACGAGCGGGTGCGATGCCGACGCATTTAGCGTAACCGAATGAAGCGACATCAATTCAACGGACGATCCCCGTTAAGAAGCTCCGGCCATTGACGAGACAGTGAGCTTGGCGATGAGCGTGCAGCATGCGGTCACTCGACACGACCACGTCCTCCCTGCCGTCCTTCCTGCAGTTGATTGCCGCGACAGAATGCAAATGAGTAATTAGCTGTCGGTTCCATTGTGAACGGTGACAAATGGACGATCGCGCTACGAACGCTCACCAAACTCCCTTGAGGTCCGCCTCAAAGTCTAAGATAGATGAACAGCTTCTGTATAGGGGCGATTTCACCGAGGGATCTCCGAAAACTAAATTTTAACCGTGAAGTGTGTCTAAATGATGGCGAATGACTGTTTCTTCTGAGTAAGCTAGGTTGTCAACAATTGAAAAATAGCAGATAAGTGGCACAATCCCCTCCTTCTTCGTTTTTCCCTTCAATTTCTATCATCTTTGAAAGAAACCGTTGCTCCAGCACCTTCTAATCCTTATATGGACACTGTTCCTAGCCAGATCGGAATGAAATAGCCGTCTCAATAGAAACGGTACCTTTTTACCATTTTTCTGCAAAATGACGGACCATGTGCTATACTTCCGAGAGCAATGGGAAGCTGAGCCAGAACAACGCTGTTTTTGCATTCTGTCGCCCATTCAGCGCACATCATCATGTGCTGATCACATCGAGAGCGTCGCATTTGGTTGCTGGGGTGGGGCTTGTGTTCTAAATCCTGGAAAACTCTTCCATTCGTCCGTGGTCCGACTTTTGCCTATAACTTCAGCATTCTTGTGATAACCTGACTCCACTTTTCCCTTCTCTGGGCTGATTTGTGGCCGAATTATAGCTTTTTTTTCAGTGACACGGGAAGCGCCGCCCGTTTGAAGTACGCCTCGCTCATTTCGGGTGTGTCTTCTCCAATCCATTCTCTTCCAACTCCTTTATACATACTCTCAATATACCCTACCCACGTCGCCTCAACCGTAACGTCTTGGAAAGCAATGTTAAGATAGTGAAGATGGTAAGTAGCCGACGAAAAGCAAGCAAGCCTCGCCATATCACACCGATATCGTACATGGCGATGTCGCTTTGATTTTTCGTCTACTTACAAGCAACACTTCGGAATCCTCCGCGGTGATGTGGTGGCAATCCCTCTACTGACGTTGACAGGTAGCCCCAATGCAAGCTCTTGTAATTTTTGAATGGCATTCGAAATGTCGCTAAAATGGAAGTAAAATGCGTGGCTGACGCGACAGGCTTTAGCCTCCAATGATCTCGTCAATTTTTTGTATCCATATTCACGCGGCAACTCGAGGACACCGCTGCGTTGCAGAAAATTTCAGCCACAGTCGAGTACAACCCTCGGAACCGTTTTTCACAATTTGCCTACCATCCACCATCTCACCAGCTCTCCCCTAAACAAAAGCCACATTGTTGTCGTTGAGAGGCTGGTAGACAACGTCTTTAACGAGGATATGAAACAGTGCTGAGCGCCTACCAGGGTTATTCGTCGCGCGTCTAGGAAGAGAAAGATCAACAGCCGAAAAAAATCAGGCCACCAGGTGTACTGTATTACACAACGACAGTGTGCCCTCCACAAGTTTCATGGCCATGGTCTCGTTTTCGAAAGCCTACCATCACATTCGCTTATCCCTGTCTTACCATCGAAGCTCTTCGTTCAGTCGTCATACAGTGCGGGCTGCGTAAGGACTAGTATGGAAATGAATCGCTGACGCATTCCTAAAAATTAACTGGTGAGGAGAACGGAAAACCACGAGAAACATGTGGAGATGAGTACTTGAGTGAGCTTTTACTTTCTAACTCATTATAGTGACTGTCTGTCCTGGAATGTAGGCCGCTGGAGTGGGCACGATTGCTGGGGCGGGCGGTGGTCACCAACGTCACTGGTGGAAGGGTCGAGTGGGTCGAAACGTCCTCTCAGGTTGCCTCCACCAGTGACGCTGGCATCAACCGCCCACCTCCACCAGTCGTACCCACAGCTTTTGAAGTGCTGGTCGCGTTTTCCCAACCACAAGTCACCGATTTTCTTAATAACCGATATCGGTGTAATCGTGCTTTTCCCTGGGATGATACTGATAGCCGCTGCTAGGTGGTCTACCTCAAGGAGGTTCATTTTGTTCGCTCAGCGGGGTGGAGAAGGAGGTGAGTCCGAATTGTGCAGCAGTAGTTATGTCCTGTGAAATCATTCTTTATCATTTCCATAATTTTGCTGCAGCCTGAGAGCTTCCAGAGATCTTGCTTCTCTTTTACTTCGGAGACAGCGTCAACTATCCACCCCGCTTACTTAGACAAGGAGATGTCTGCCCGCGAGCGCCAGACTTCATCCACGAGAAAAAGCTCTCGCCCTCAGCTTGGTTTCCCAGTCGTGATATGTCAGTGAAGCTAAGGTATCGTCGCAATCAGTTGGAACGGTGGCGCAGGATGAGCTCAGCTTCAGCCTTTTCACCACTTGTTATTTTCATCCTGGAACACGACCAACTGATCAATATGGATAGAGGGGGTAGTTGTTGGCGGACTCATTCCGCCGCACTAGAGGTTCCTCCCCTACGATGATATCAACTGAACTGTTTTGTGTAGTCCGTCTCTCGGTTGACCTTCGGTATTCCTGCGCTACACGCTAACCATCTCCTGGCCCTGAACTCATACGTCGGCTGGAATCGGAACCAAGACGCTCTTCAATTCAGAAAGCACTTTGCTAGTTTCCTCATCGTGTCACACCCTAGAAGTAGCGGCCTGTCACTGAGACGGGACTCTGTCGTCCGGGTGACTCCACCCGTTACCATCAACGCGAAAAACGACTTCCGTCTACCAGTCGTACTACGTCTATCTTTTACGCAGAATCTTCTACAATTATACACGCTGCTGTCATGTCTACCAGAGCATAAGATTCCACGCACACTACGGGACATGCCACATTACACCCTGAGTCTTGACATGTGCGGAAGAACTAGTTTGCAGAAGGTGGCATCTTCCTCACCTCGAGAGCAGCACAAGTGAGTGACCTGAACTAGAAAGTATCAAAGTAGAGAAACGCCAGTCTCGAAAAAGGTATGGACAACTACGCATTTGCTGCAGTTCAATCGTTGCTGCTTGTATAGATCGCTTAGCTAACACCATACTAACTGAAAGCAGGGTTTAGCAGGTTCAGCATCATGAATGTAGTATGCGGTGTCAGTTCAACGCTCTATGGCGACTATGAAACTTGAAAACAAATCTGCAAGTCCACAGTCGGTCGGAAATTTTCTCCACCGCTGAAAAGAATTTCTCTCAAGACCATCCTCCTCAGCGACCGATCACGACAACCTCTGAGAGGATTCTTCCAATGATGCTATAATTTCTTAGCAGTTATACGTACGTTGCGCTTTCCAAAATTGTAGAACAGACAGGTGTCGCCCCAAATCCACCCCCTCCCCTTGAAACGCTGCAGCATGCGTAGCGAACAAGACTGAAGTTGTACAATTCCAGGTCTTAGGCAACATGGTATTGAGTAACTGATCTGTAAGGGATCCTAACTTAATTTATGCCGAAGAATATCAAGCGTGTGAATTGCCTTTGGAACATCTTGCAGATGCAGATAATCGACTTAGTTGGAGAAACATGGATTTAGGTGACAATATGCTTTTTATTGTTTCTTTTTCTTCACAGCACAATCTCAAAAAAATTAACTCATCGTGAGGAACAAAAACTACAGAAACATGTGATGAGTACTTGATGAGTCTTTGCTTTCTAACCATTATCGGATGTCTCGTCCTGGAGTGTAGGCCGCCTGGTGGTCGGATTGCTGGGCGGCGGTGGTCACCAAAACGTCCTGGTGAAGGTTGTGTGAGTCAAAACGCCACTCTCAGGTTCCCCTCCACTAGTGACGCTGCATCAAACGCCCACCTCCACCATCCGTACCTACAGCCTGAAGTTGAAAACGAAGTCTTGATAAAAGAGCGCTTGATATCTGGGTTGGTGTTCGTGCTAAAAAGTAAACAGCTTGGACGGAATCCTGAAAAGCGTGACCGACCGCCACCGTGATGCGTTCAGACTTCAGGACGACGCGCTGCAAATTGTATCGTACGTCGACGCGGTACAATTGTAAGAGCGCTTCAAAGCTATAGACACGAAAAACGTACCGTGAAACTTCCGGTTCCAGACTAACGTTACATAAGACAACTGTGAAATTGATATAGCGCAGTGATTGCAGAGAGGTGGTAGAAAATATCGGCGTGACAGATGTCGTGGGTGAACGTGTAGCCAAGAAAGTTTTTTCCACCGACAACACCATTCTAAGCCCGCAACAATTAGTGAAAGGGGTTGTCCTGGCTGCGTTAAAGTCCGTGCCCATCCCCACAGCGTGTCTTTTGCAGTAATAGTGACAGAATATTCAAGCAATGTCGCGGAGATGACATCATACCAATATCCTTACTTGAAGTAAAGAGCTTTTAGGGTGTGTCGACCAGACAAGTCATAGAGCATAGAAGGCGCCGCATGGAGTTGGCGCCGGCACGCGGATGGACGAGTGCATGCCCGGAACATTGCCTTTGATCTCAAGAACGAGAAAGAAATGATATCACATAAAATGTACTATCTCTCTCGCTCTCTCGCCTTCTCTTCTCTCTCTCTCCTCTATTCTTCTTTCTCCCTTCATTGAAACCCATGAATTCGCTGCTCCAATCAACAGGCTGATACACGTCGAGGACCGTCGCGTGCATGATGCGCCGCGTGCGACAGCGCGGCGGATCACGAATGTCTTGTCCGCCCTTTTCGCGCCCGCAGCTGCTGAAAAAGAAAATCTTGGTGATAGATGACGAAGAAGCAAACTTAAAGGCACGATCGGGATCCCGATAAGGAGCGTAGGTGATAGTGTAGAAATATGGAAGGAAATTCGTCAAATGACTTATCTGCGAAAAGAAAATGCCAGAGGAAGCTTTGGGAGGGCATTTCGTCAGAAACCTCAGACAGACCAGACATCAGCCTCAAACGATTGCACGGGTAAAAGATCGAAGGACCGCGCGCTGGGACAAGTCTCGTCGGCTGTCCAGTTATTTTTTTTTATTTTTTTTTTTTTTTATCCTTAGTAATAAACTGGCTACGACTTAAAGAGAAAACGAGAATGTACTCCGTACAAGTGTTCCTGCCCTGGGCATTACTTTTGCTGGAAGGCGGAGTTGTCTGGAGGCTGGTGGCGGAGCCACTGGGTAAAGCAGGCACAAATGGAGCAAGTTTGGCCTTACTTCCTTTACCGTACAAATTCTGTGCCGCACACTGCACAGGGCTACCCCCTTCGGGCCACATACACTCCTTATCCCTGAGTCAGGGTAGGCGTGGCATTCGAACATGGCTCGGAATTGGTTACTCGTGGAATATTCCCAGTCCGACATACTTTCATCTTGTTCTGTGTTGGACCAGAGACACGCAACAAAACCAGTTACTGGTCAGATGGAAATATTCCAGCAGAAGCATAGGCATCTTCAGGTTTAGTTGAAGAATGCAGCCACGCCTACCCGATCTCAGGGTTTTTCGAGTATACCTTCCCTCTTAACCTTTTGCATTTTTATAGTCCTTACCTTGACTATGAGAACGAAAGCCAGATAACTGCTTTGAGAACAAACGAAAGACGAAACCATAGGAAAAGCGATGACACCTAATTGAACACTAGAAAAAAGCGGATAGCTCTGAATCTGGACGATCAATAAAAACAACGAACCTGGCAGTCTCTCAGATCACTAATGTTTCAGGATACGCTGGAACAGTTGAAAAGTCATTTGGGGGAAAGAAAGTCAAGAGATTTCAATATCCCTGGTTAGCTGCTTTGAGAACAGGAGGTTAGATTCACAGTGATGATGTTTTAAAACTAACATTTTTGTAATCACTGCACATATCGATCTGCCATTCAAAATATCTTGAGCGTGATGTCTCTGCACCAACCGACCGCGAGCCTGAATCATTGAAATATCGGTTTATAAATGTACTGGGTTACGGCGGCGGCACATTGTGTGAAACTTTTTTCGCCTATCAATGTACCCACTGCTGCCATGCATTCCATGACCCATGATCAATGTCCTCGTCCTACCCTCTATGTTACTTGTGATAGTATATTCGGGATACTATAAGTGGCTCAGTTCCTGCTACGGTCAGTAAGTTCCTGTCACGGTCCAGGAGGACGTGCGGACTCGTTCAAATCCCCAACTAAAGATTTGTCTTGAAAGGAACCTTACGACGCGAAATGCTTACCCCCTAAGTCAAACAGCCACAATATTCTTACTGATTAATCATGTCAGTCAGGGTACAGCATCGTGTGTGTGAAAATTTGGTGCCAGTACGACCTTCCCCTCACCTCCCAAGGTAAGGTCTTAATGACCCCTTCTACCTGAGGGAGCGTTTCGGTACGACACCCCACACCTACCTTCTAGTTTCCCACATTTTCCAGTTTTTTACCCACATGTTTTTACCCATGTTTTTTTACGCGTTTTTTCTGTCCGTCGAGCGGAGGAGTAGAGGTTGAAGGAGGGGAGTATAAAGTACACATGAATCAGGAAAAATCACGCGAAAAGTCAACAACCGTGAAATTTGCCCAAATTCGACAAACTCCTCTTGAGGCCACATACGACCCTCCCCCTCCTCCCAACAACGACCAACTACGACCCCCTCCCCTCCCCCGCCGAAGCACGGCCGCCCTATGCGTTTTCCTCTACAATGTTGTACCCTGATGCCAACACTACAAAAAGTCGATAGCAGCATTTCTTCTTTTGGAATTTCAGTTGAATGTAGTGGATCACTTATCTCTCGTCGCCATGTCCTCACTGCTGCACATTGCATAGTAAAAACTGATGAATCCACGAAAGGTCCAAGTGAATGCGAAAAACGGAAGAAGAGGTTTCTTTTGAGAATCGTTGGCGCTGATACCAAAATGGAGTGCTCCGTCGCATGCTCCACACATCATGCAAGAGTAATCCTAAATTGGGGTTCGAGGAGCTGAGAATCTTTTCGGTATTCTAGGAGGTGTCCTCATCAATAAGGAGGGTGCTCAACTCTCAAAAATGTTCACAGCGTGCATTTTATAGCATGTATGTCCTTATCCATTTCCATTTTTTCTGGGGATTGTTGGGTGGAGAGGTGAGTGAAGACGGGTCTTTGCATCAGAATTCCTCAACAATATGCACTATACGCTCCCGGCGGCGATTCCATTTGCAAATGGAGTGATGTAGATTATTTGTGGGCAGTTTGAAGTTGAGACAATTGTCGACTCGTTTTGTTCTGGACAGAATTATCACACTCGTCTAAAAATGAAAATATGTAATGAAAACAGCATCCACCGCCAAGTTAGAAGAGAACGCAATTATTAGGTTGGCGGGAAAGTTCTGTCACTTTTTCGAACTCAAAATACTTGCCCATTACCTGAAGAGGGGTAACCGGTAATGTGAGCACTTATACATCAAGGAATGATCTTTCTATTAGTACCACTCGCTTGACTCCTGCTTCCTTCTTCTTTCGCAATATGGATAGGAATGTAATCCACTACCAACGGCACCGACAACCAAGTGCGTCCTCAAACTCGGGGAACGGTTAGGACTCCACGAGAGGTCAGCCTGCCGCCGCCGCGGAGGTGCTCTCCGCGATGCTTTCGCTATGTATTTTTTGCATTTGCATAGTTCATGAGATTTCCAACCGTCTGCTTTATACTTGCAGGTGTGAAGGCTATGAAAGGAATGGGCCCGATATTCAACTACTAGTATAAAACAACGCCCATTAACATAGAAATAATATTTAGAGAATACATCAGCAATCTACGAAAATTCTTTTCAGGGTGAATCCTTCTTTTGGCCTCAATTGTAAGATATTGTAAGGTTTAAGATTCTCGGCCAGACGGTGAAAGTAGGTCCTATTGAAGAAATACAGCAACCCGTCGAATAAGTACAGCTGCCATTCAAAAATACTGTCGTCCCATTGAATATTCTGGTTTGGAAAAATCCCAAGCAGATTCGCGTGATGCCAGAACTATGTGAAGGGACCGGGATCTTAATCGCACGACCATGTTGCTCTCGTAAAATCAGTTGCAATCGCCGCGCGCGGCGAGGCGAGACATGGCAGCCGTGACCTCTCGTGGAGTCCTAACCTACACCCCATCCTTCATTGCGGATCATGGGGCGTGGCCTGTGGGGTGGATTTGGCGCGTCACCATTCCAGTTTCTCACCACTTGCTGAAGCAGACAACACCGATTCAGGAAAACGACCAATACGAGAGAAGTATTATAGCCTTCACCTGCTTGCCTCAATAATTGGTGGGAAACAGATGTGGCGCCGCGCAAAACCCATCCCTCCTGACACGCCCCATCATCCGCAGTGAACAAGACTATATGTAGGTTACAATATAATCCGCTGTGCGTGTGTGTGTCACGACGAAATTCACAGTGCAGGTCACCGCAACACTGGACATAGGTTTCAAGAATGGTTGTAAGCACATTGGGTTACACGAGTGTTCCTAAAAGTTTTCGCTATGTTCTTCTCCCTGGGTTCGCTTTCAAAAATGGCCCCCACAAGTTCCAAGCAGGTGCGCTACCCAGTGTACCATCGTTATCCCATGCCGGAATGCAGTTTATTCAGCGACTATATTACTGTAAGTCGATCATTCCCGATTGAAAACTTGTTTCTGTACTTACCACAACTTAGATATCAGTGTTCGCACGTATAATGTGATGAACAAATTAATAGTAAAATGGGTTTGTTTTGTTGCTTAGCCGGAGCTATACCTCTTTGCTGGGATAATCAGTCAAGATGACGCTACGAGCACCAAGTTTCGCAACTGCCAGACCAACGACACCCGTGCCTGCACCCAGTTCCAGGCAAACACTGCCAACGAAAATTCCACAGTTGCCGCACAGAAATTCCGCTGAAATTTTCGCAATCACTACTCCAGTAAGACACATGAGTATCGATTTATTAGCCGTTAGCCCACCTAAGTATTGCGCTGCTGGCCATACTCCTCTCCAATGTTCTTGGTTAGCACCTATTCTATCCATACATCTTCTGCACTGGATGAATCCTACTCACTGAAAGGCGCTCTTCTGAATTATACTATTCATCAAATACACTTCTCGTGATCAGATACACCATATACCCGATAGAAACTTGGCGCAATCGCAGGTAACAACGATTTGAAAGTTGTTGACGGTACCACTGGATAGGGATAGCCCCTCAGCTTATGCGAGACCATAGCGCTCGACTCTGACCGGCTGCGCTCTTCTGACCATGTGCCTCGTTTGAAGGCAAGGACATACTGTCCATATCGAGGGGCGGAAAGGGGTGTTCCAGAGACGCCCACAAGATTGCGTTCATACTTTGCGGCAGTGTCCGCCAGCGTCTACCAGCTCCACCAGCGAACACTAAACGTTCCGGCGTCCGGCAGCGCCAGCGACTAGGGAATTATGAATATCGCTCGCGTGTGCCAGCGTTCACCAGCGACCAGCAGCGTCTCGAGCAGGGTACAGCATGGGGATGTGCGAAATG